GACTCACTGGGGGGACACAGTGTGACGGACTCACTGAGGGTCACACGGTGTGATGGACTGAGGGGACACAGTGTCACGGACTCACTGAGGGACACACAGTGTGACGGACTCACTGAGGGTCACACAGTGTGAGGAAGTCACTGGGGGACACCACCAGGGACTGGCTCACCGGAAGTGGGCAGTGACAGGTAGACTTACTGAAGGTGGGGCAGCGGTGGCCTCTCTGGCCTCGGCGCGACTTCAGGGAGAACAGGGACCTCACGCCCCGGCAGCTTCAGGATCGGAGGTTTGGGGCCCACAGAGGGCACAAAGAGTCCGGGCCTGTCCCCCTCTCTTGGGGTGGCCACCTCCATCGGCTTGAGGAGCTTGGGCTTGTTGATGGGCACAGGTGGGGGCTCGGGTGTGGGCGGCCCCCGGGCGGATAAGTGGAAGGACTTGAATTTGTCACAGTTCCTGGAATCTGTGGCGGCCACGGTGGCCGAGATGGCACCAATTCCATGGCTGGGGACTCGGGGCTCCGGACTGGGGCAGGCACCCTCCCGGAAGGCGGGGGGCTTCCGAAGACTGGGCACAATGGGCTGGCTGCTGACCGGGGGGTCACTCATCCGCCGGGAGGCAACAGGCATCCTGGCACCAGGCTCCCCTCGCCTCAGCAGTGGGTCCCTCTTGGCATCCTCTGCGTTCGGGCCCACTTCTGGGAGGCCGCGCTTGGGGGGTGGGGGTGGCAGCAGGGGGCTTGGGCCCTTAGAGGTGAAGGAGTGGGCACGGGGCACCTCAGCGAAGGCTGGCTTCCTGGGAACGGGTACAGGAGGCGGCGGGTAGGCAGGCGGGTGGGTCAGGGCATCTGCAGATGAAGGAGACCTGGAGGTGAGAGGCTGCCCACCGCAGGGTGCTCACCCCTGCAGAGTGTGGGTGGCCTGTGCCCACCCTGCCCTAAGCCCTGCCATCCACTTTCCACACAGCAGCCCCAGGAACGTGCGACCCTGCCAGGAAGGGGCAGGGCAAGGCGGAGGAGGGGGGGCCCTGATGCTGGGAGACATGCAGGAGGGGAAGCACAGCCCAGCACTCAGGGGTACACTCCACTGGGCCACAGTGAGGGGTGGCATGGCTGTCACAGAGGGTGCAGCCAGACGACGGGGAGGTAGCACAGGGAGGGAGGCACTCGGGACCCCACAGGCGTGTGTGGCCTGGAGCAGGGTGCCCAGTGTGAGGTGAGAGGGAGTCGGCCAGGTGTCCCTCACAGGGCCGCCGGGGGGCACCACAGGAGCAGCTTGGGGGTGACGGGGAAGGCCTGGCTGCACAGTGGGTGGAGGGACGGAGTGGACGGTCTGAGCCAGCCAGCTGAGCAGCCTGCCAGGCACTCTCCAGGGCGCAGTCTTGGACCTGAGGGCACTGCCAGCTGGTCCACCTGCAGGGGCTCCAGGCACAGCGGGTGGAGGGTGAGGGTCCCCAGGGCTGAGGCCAAGCTAATGACTGAGGTAGACTGAGGGTGAGTATGATGAGGGGACAAGGACAGAGGGGCATGGACCTCACACAGGGAAGGAGGACAGGGGTCAGAAGGGTAGGGTAGGTGGGGAGGGGCCGAGGGGGGCAGGATGGGAGGAACAGCCCAAGACTATGAGGTCAACTCTGGAAGGGATAGAAGACAAGAGCCAGAGAGATGGGGGGCTGGAGGGATGGGGGCTGGAGGAATGGGGTGGCTAGAGATATGAGGGTCTAGAGAGATGGGGGTGCTGAGGAGTTCATGAGGATGGGGACTGGGAGAAGACAGGGTGGTGGTTCGAATCCACCAGCTGCGTGGTGGGAAAAGGATGGGCGATCTCCTCCCACGTGATATGCTGCCTCTGAAAACCTGCTGGAGGGTCGGCTATGGGTCAGTTCTGACTCCACAGCACTCAACACTATGATGAAGGAGCCTAACAAAAGCACGGAGCCGGGGGACCGGGGCAATTCCCACAGGGAAGAGGGTTGGAAGGGAGGATGGGGCGGGAGATAATTGTGAGGAAGGCGAGCAGGTGAGGGGACAGAGTTGGGTATCTGGGGGAACGGTTACAGGAGATGACAGAGTGAGGGTCCTTTCTGGTGAAAAGACGGGTGGGGCCTGGGGAGAGTGAGGCTCTAATTAAGGGCCCTGGAGCCCTGTCTCTCTTGTGGGCGGGGACAGAAGCCTAGACTTTTGTGGACAGCTGGCCACCAACAGGACACCTCAGCGAGCTATCAGCAGGAGGAAACTGACCTCTCGATGCTCCTTCCAGGCCCACCAAGGAGAGGGGACCGCTATGTCCTCTGGGTACCTTGCTGGCCCAGCCCCTAATAACTATAACATCCTGGGAACACCTGGGCCCCCAGCAGGAGGTAGACAGAGACCCCCCAGCCCCATGGGCACTCCCCAGCCCACCACCTAGCCCAACTACCCTCAGCCTTCCTGGGGTCAGGGGAGTCAGGCTCCTAGTGTCCCAGCTCACTGCCCTGCCCACCTGCCCTCAGCCTTCCTGGGGTTGGGTAGTCAGGGTCCCAGTGTCCCCAGCCCAGCACTCCCCGGCCCACCGCCCTGGGCCCACCTACCCTCGGCCTTCATGGGGTCAGGGGAGTCAGGCTCCCAGTGTCCCCAGCCCAGCACTCCCCGGCCCACCGCCCTGGGCCCACCTACCCTCGGCCTTCATGGGGTCAGGGGAGTCGGGCTCCAGGTACGAGTCGTCCTCATCGTCATGCTCGTAGTCTGCACGGGGACCAAGGGGTCAGATCAGGGGCAGTGGGGTGGCATGTGACACACAGAGGCCCTGGCTCAGCCGAGTCAGGCATCACGCTGGTGAGCACTAGGTGGGATTTGAACCCAGGACTGAGGAGGCCACTGTGTCTCCGCCAAAGGCACTAGCAGAAAAAAACAGCTAAATGTGCCCCTCACTTGGACCTAGGGTGTGGGGTGTGGGGAGGAGGACCCTTACCTTCGTTCTCTGTGGGGTATGAGGAGAAGCTGATATCCACCGGACGCTCCACGGCGCCGTAGAACCTGTCCAGGTCAGAGCCGGGGTCACTGCGCACAGAGGGGCAGGGCAGGCAGTGAGTGAGGGCGGGCTGGACACATGTACATGTACACACACACACACACACACACGACCCCGGGACAGGCACACAGATGGGGTCACTGAGCACAGAGGGGTGGGCTGAACACATATGCATGTACATATGACACTGGGACAGACACACAGATGTACTGATGGGGTCACTGTGTGTGAAGGAGGTGGAAGGGCTGTGAGTGAGGACAGGTGGTCCCTCAGTGCACACACACACATAGATGCACACAAGACTCTGGGAGAGGCACACAGATATGGACACACGCAGACCGTGACAGGCAGATAAGTGAAATCCCATACACAACACCAACACACACACACACACACACACACACACACACGCGCGCGTGCGCGTGCCGGGACAGGCAGGGAAATAGAATCCCATACACACCACCACGCACACACACACGCACACGCACACGCACGCGCGCATGCCGGGACAGGCAGGGAAGTAGAATCCCATACACAGCAGTGCACAAATGCAGCCACACAGACACTGAGGCACAAGGATGTGCCCCCTCCCCGGGCTCTCACGTGCTTCCCCTGTGTGTGCTCACATGGTCTGATCACATAGTGCAGAGATTCCACACCTCCAGGTCTGGACGGCCCCAACACCCTGCCCAATGTCTACCTGCCCAGTCCCGAGTGCCCCAGCCCTGCCGCCCTGCCCGAGGCCCACCTGGCATCCGGGCACAGCTCCTTCTCGTGGAAGTGGCCGATCTCCCTGCGCAGCTGGGCCATCCAGCTCTGAAGGAACCAGGGCTACAGTCAGCTTGGCCCCGGCCTCCCTTCCGCCTCCCCCTGGGCCAAGCTGGCCTGCAGGGACCGCCCGGGTTGGGGTGCAGCCCCGCTATGTGCCGCACTTGCCCCGCCCCAGCCTCCCTGCCTGGCACAGGACCTCCAGCCCCGGCACCTTGCGCTCGTCCTCCGAGGAGGCAGAAAAGAACCAGGTCCGGTGCTTCTTGCTGATGTGGACGATCTTAAAGGGGAAGACGTTGCTGGACGTGGTCTCCTCAGCCGCCCGCATCACCCTGGGGACACAGCGCCCACAATCACCGCCTGGTCCAGACAAGGAAACACAGGGGTCCACGCAGACCCAGACGGGGCGTGCACACACACCACATCCAGAGCTCATGGGGGGACCTGCACTGGGCTGAGGGACACAGGTGAGTGGGAGCAGTGACCAGAGGGCCTTGGGGTCCTGGGGGCCTTGTGGGAGCTGCCTCATGCTGGGCCCTCCACTGCCACTGTCCACTCTGCCTTCTAGGGCATGTTAGCCTCGCACCTCTGGTCTCAGCTGGCCCTGGTCTGGCCGCCGGGCTGCCCGAGGCTTCAGGGAACCAGCCCCAGCCTCAGTACACTTCAGACAAGCCCTATAATAACTCACGCCTGCTCCCTGCCCGGATGTGAGGTTTTCATAGAAATCAAAAGGGCTGCTGTGGGGGTGATGCTGGGCACCAGGGCAAGGATGCTCATTCTGGCCCGTCAGGGGTCCTAGAAGCAACCCTCGGGCACAGCTGGCCCTGTCAGGGCTGGACAACACCCGAGGCCCAGGGTCCATGGCTCGGCCAGAGCCTGGAGGACAGCATGCTTGGGGGGAGGGTAATGGCCCTCACGAGGAAGCCTTCAGGCCTGACCCCCCAGAGCTGCCCCCACTCCCTCAGAGGACCTGCTCTCAGCTTGGCTAGTATCCAGGGCTCAGCCAAGCTACTCTTCCAAGGAGGTGTCTCACCCTGAGGTCAGGGTCACCACTAACACCGTTTGACCTGGGCACACTGGCACCTGTTTCCCTCATGGAAGACAGGACGGGCTGGCGCCTTACAGAGGGGCTGGGGCGGGGGTGCACACACTGATGCCAAAGGAGGAGCACAGGGGGCAGGGACAACACCCAGGACAGGCATACAGGGGGCCACCAGTCAGCCTCTGCTCTGGGAACCCCCGAAGCCACGGACAAACTCCAGGGGAACTACTGTGCCCACATGCACTGTCCCACCCATGTCGAGAGAGCATGGGAGAGCCGACCAGGGACAGGGACCGGTCCACAGCAGGCGGGGGCCCTGGGGTGTCAGGGACAGGCCAAAGGCACAAAGGAGGGTGAGGTGGGCGAGGAAGAAGCAGGCCCGCTGGGCAGTGGGGACTCTGGAGAGCAGGCTGGTGGGCCATCCCCAAGGCCACAGGAAGCCCCCAGCTGTGCCCTGAGCTCAGCAGAGGCTGTGGACAAGGGCTCTCAATAACGGAGTCTACCCCCCTTCAACGGCTCAACATTTGTCCAAACAACAGAAACACCAGGGAGAAAGGCCCTCCTTAGGACGACCACGCAGATGGGAGCTTACACAGGGAGAAAACGCACAGGGCAGGAGGGGCCAGGAGAGGACGAAGGGAAACGGGAGACACCAGGAGGAGAGAGGAAGAGTGCTGTTACAGCGTGGGGACAGTAATCATGTCATGAGACAAAATGTGTATGAGAGCTGGGTGGAAAATCAGTCTGTTCTGTAAACACTCACCCAGATCACTCACACACACATACACAGTCACACACACACACACACACAGAGTCACACAGAGTCACACACACATAGTTACATACACACACAGAGTCACACACACATAGTTACATACACACACAGAGTCACATACAGAGTCACACACACAGTCACACACACACGTAGTCACACACACACACAGAGTCACACACACACAGAGTCACACACACACA